ATATTTATTTCTTTTCAGTCTTCCCCTCTTTACATTTCCCTACATTTAGACCTACATGTAATGATGAGTAAATGTGTACACACTTAATGAAATCCCCCAAGTGGGGAGGAAGAACAGAAGGAGAAGCAGATCCATTGGAGGAGTGCGGATTTTGGTTTTATACCAAACAGTTGGTGCTCAGCAAATGTTGCAGTTTGCAAGGCAATTTCTGGGATGTTGTTGCACGTAGAAAAAAATATTTGCTACAAGGAGGAATAAACAGTATATATATATAATTTTTTCCCCTCAAAAATATCAAATTGGAAACACGAAAATAAATATTTTCCTCAATTCCAATCAAACGAGGGCTTAATATGAGTTTTCTGTTTTTTCGATCAACAATCGTCCAAAATGCAACAAGAAATGTACTCCATTTTTATCTCACGTAGGAATAGTTGAATTATTCATCGTAAAATACAAACTCTTAATTTAAACTGGCAATGTAGTTGACTCCTACATGATGTGAAGCATTTAGGTTAAGTTATGGCAGTGGTGGGTCGTGTATTGTGGTGTATTGTGGTACAGGTGGTGGTGCTGTGAAATGAAATAAGATCCAGGAAGTCCAGTTTCTAGAATGCCAGACAAAACAGTTAATGAGGCAATATGTTCTACCTCTGGAAAGTTGCCAGGGCAGCATTAGTTTTACTAATTAATCTTGATGCAAGGGAAGCAGTATGACAATGTTACATTGGTAAGACACAAAGTATCTGGAATCTGAATGTATTTGTTGGGCTATTACAGTGTGTTGCCCAGTCTCAGAGCTTGGCTAGCAGTTCAAGAGCATGTACGAGTGTTACTGTCAGTAGCCGTTCCACCAGAGCAGATGGTGGAGGAGCAGGACATTGTTCATACGTGCAAGGGATGACCCCAGGGTTCTTTGCGTCTCCGGTGGGAGAAAACGCAGCAGACAGGCATGCAGTGATATGACAGTAGAATGGTCTGTGACTTTTGCAGACTGTCAGCCACAACCTTGGTTTGCAGCGATTGCGGAACTGGAGACTCAGGACTGTTGGAACTTGCTTTTAAACAACACAATATAGGTGTCCAGGCTGTAGAGGGACACAGTTCTGCCTCAGCAGAGAATGATAATAGTATGTCATCATCACTGCCAGGCAGCGTCAATTGGCCGTCATCCTCTGCAGGGGCAAGTGGTGGATTTTAGAGAAGGTCACAGGGCAGAGTCAGAAGAGCCCAGTTACATTCTGCTTCACTGCTGTCAGAGCAAAGCTGGAGAATGCTGGAAAATAGGCCTATCACTGCCAACAAGCAAACTCCTACTGTTAGTAGACGCACAGTGCCGAGGCACAATGCACCACTGGTGTTGGCCTGCCTCGTCAATCAGTCCAGGGCACAATAGGGAAAGTATCTGTGTGAGAGACAGATGTCCATGACTGCTGTCTCTCTGGAGTCCAGTGTCATGTCTAGTCCTTTATTTAATTACATTTTTTATTTTATTGTTAATCAAAAAACAATACACTAACAGAACAAAACGAGTATGGCAACTCACACCCCTGCCTCCCATCAAAGGGAGGCCTCTTTTTCTCCATTCTGAGCCACTCAAAGCCTGTTTCAATGGCACAGACCACGCAGAGAGCGGTGTTCAACAGCCACAAGCCTGCTGAACACTGCCCAAGATTCCCAAGATCCCGCCAGCAGAGGTGGGATCACTCGATGCTTTGATGGGATCCTTGCTCCGAGCGACAACATCATGGTCAACGCCCCTGACGGCAACACTCCGCTGCTGCCTCCAGTCATCTCTGCTGAGACACTGGCTTCGTCTGCAGATGATGACGACAAGATCGTATCGTGTCTGCTACATCAGCATCCCCGGAAGTTCACTGCCAAGATGCTTCCACTGGCATTTCTAGCCCCCATTGCTATCAAAGAACTCTTTGGATTGATTTTATTGGTCACTCAGTGTTTTAAACGCCTGGATGAGGAGAAATCAAAGCTCAGCCGCCATCTGCCGCTCACTCAACCTCAGAGGAAAGCTGAGACAAAGCATAACAACACAACCCGAAGGGGGCGTTAGCGGGGTAGAGCACCCACTGCCTCTGGCTGCCTCCATTTCTCGAGCCGCCTCAGCAGAGGCACACCAGCATCGCCTTCATTACAGCCAAGATGACCAGGTGCAACCGAGTGCAGAGGCACCGCATCAACACAAAGCTTTTGCTTGGAGTGGAGCTAGGGCACAGAAATGACTATGGAACGGAGCGTCCCGATAGTGGGGGCCATAGATCTGTGGATCTGTTTGCCAACCGACGGAACACTCACTGCCTGCTATGGTTCTCCCTGGCACAGCAGGACGATCCACCCGAGGGTGGAGGCATTTGCACATGTGCCATGGTCATGAAAGCTGCTTTACGCCTTTACGCCGCTTTGCCTTTTCCTTCTCCTGTTGCAGCCTGAAGGTGTTGTCAATCAAGACAACTTTGCTGCTTGCACTGACAGCAGCTAAGAGAGTGTGTGAACTAGCTGCTCTGTTGGTGCACCCCAGTTGCTCTCTGCTCCATTGTGACAGTAGCAGGGCTACCTTCAGACCAAGTCCTTCCTCTGTTCCCAAGAACATAAGGCATTCTTTCAGATCAACGGCTGTACAGCTGGATACTTTTTGCATTTCACCCCATGCGTGGGACAGGGAGGCAAAGTTGCATCTTCTTTGCCCAGTTTGTGTGTTGGCTTGTTATGTTGAACGCATGGCCCAAATCAGACACACTGAACAGCTGTTCATGTGCTTCCAAGATGGGGTGGCTGGTAAAGCCCTTTCAAGAAATGCCTGGCAGGATGGCTATGCATCTCCCAAGCTTATAGACAAATGGAACAAGACCCTCCCATTGAGGTCTGCGCACTGGAAATTGTGGATGTATGTTTACAAGTTTAATAATAATACTAATAATTCCTCTGGTAAGGTGTGGTGGTAAGGTGTCTTTCGGGTCCTGTTGATAGGTTATCTATTTGTGACATTAAACTTTTTTAATCTTATAAGAGTCCTACATATCCCATGAAACACATTGTATAATGTATTTCCTAATAATATAAATAATACCAGTAATGTTATCATGGTTATCTCATGTTTTGTTATCTTTATTTTTATAGAAAGCTTGGAGGGTCCAATGAAAGATGAAATAAATTGATTATTTGTGAGCTTGACCCATATTAGCATCCAAAAGTCAAGATAGCTTAGCCTCTGCTTAAGTTATTTTACTGGCCACAACTTTGGTTCAGACTGAAATATCCAATATAAAACTAATTAAAGGATTGCCATAAAATTGTTTGGAACTATTCAACGTCCCAAGAGGTTAAGTCTACTGACCTGGTGATCCTTTGATTTTTCCTATAGCGCCATAAGGAAGTTGATATTTTAGTGTGTGCCCTTTGGGATGAAATGTAATGACTTTAGTTATCCCTGACTTTTTATTTAGTGGTATCATTAGGTCAAAATTTAAAACACTTTGGTTAATTACCATTTAACTAATAAAATTCAGCCTCATTTGTACTATGAGGCTACTACTAGTATTTAGTGATAGTTACAATGTTAATGTGGCAAACATTTCACTGCATCTTCTTAACATCCATGTGTTTGCATAGTCACATAGAGCATGTTAGCATGCTGACCTTTCACATTTAGCTCAATGTCATGGCAACTCAATTGGGTATTGCGAAGCAACCCCTGCATCACATGACTGAATACACCGTATGTTTGAAAACATCACCAATATGTTATATGTGCCCATAACCCCATAGTTCCTCCATTAACAACACCAAGTGTACTGAGTGAACAAAGAGGTCTAAGCTGTTACGCTGCTGCTGAACTGTTTGCTCTGGAGATTGGAAACCCCCAGAGCAGTTGGTTTCCAATACCACGGACATTGCCTTGGCCAAAAGTCTGAGAAGGAATTATTTCCGGAAGCTCCAAGCACGCTACCGGGCAGGAGGAGAGTGAGATTAGAAGTCCTCTCCCAGCCGGCAGAAATACAATAGGTTAAACCACCTACTGGCCTGAGGAGCATTCCTTTGACTGGTGTTGCGATCTTCCTTTCTTGAGGTTGCAAGGCCAGAGATGTACTAAATGTTATTGTTTCTCCTTTTTCTGTCATCCACCTTTTGTTCTGGAAATTTCAAATAGACCATTAATCGCACCCTCAGCCACACACAGTCTGTCTCCTGTTCTCTGTTTTAATCTATCACTCAATATTTTCTTTTTCAGTTCTTTTTCATGCTCTTTTTCATTTACTCTCCCTCTAACCTCTCTCTCTGCTTCTCTGCTCTGTCAACTCTGTCTCTTTCTCACCTCTATGCATGTTTCACAACCGTGAATGACCGTATCTGCTCCCCCCTACCACTCTCCAATGTTTGTCTGAAGTATTAGGGAGTTGTTGCCTTATTGGATAGAATTAATTGATTAATACTTTTATCCAATTAGTGCTCCCTCATGCAATTAATCAGCTGACTGATGTTAGCGCTGCTCCATCAGTCGGACGAAAGGCAGACAGATGCTTTGGGTCTGGTGTGTGATGAACATTGACCTCTCCCTCTCTCTCTCCCTCCCTCTCTGTGTCTCTCTCCCCTTCCTATTTTCTACACACCTGGTTCCCTGTCCTCTTCTCACTGTTTTGCAATCGCTCTCAAGCACATTGTTAGAAGTCTTGCTGAACACAAGAAACGCTAGCAGAAAACAGTTTCCTTCCGATATTCCTAAAAATACCAACATATGGGTTTTGTGGCTCAGAACACACATAGGTAAAAGAATGAGCAGAAACGTGGTGTTTGATGATTTATTTTCTTTATTTAATGTCTATAAATTGCAAAACAATGAATGCTGCTTAAAAGAAAGAAACAATTATGCAATCCTAAACCCTGACAGATTTTAAGGCTCAGAAGGACCAAGTACCATGTATAAAATATTTACAGATTCAGCCCAAATTGCAGTTATAACATACATATTCTTTTCTGTTTTACAGGTTTATCCTGCTCTTGCCTTTTAAACACTGATGGAGTTGTCATGATCGTCAAAGAAATACCGTTGGACCTTTGAAGAATGAACTTTCCAAACCACTGGATTGTTCTGGAGGGAAAAGCTGTCGAAGGTCAAAAGAAATCATCAAGAGTAATTTTAGTTGGCCTTTTCTCAGTTCAAGGATTCTTCTTCGGTAGACAAAATTATTCATGACTTTTCAAGGAGCTGGACTTTAGAACACTTTTCATCGCGAAAGAAGTTCAAAATAGTAATTTTGAAACAAGCACCAACCATTGGAAAGGACGAGGCTACAAGTAAAATCAGATGCACTGAAGTAGTAAAAAGGACAAATTCAAGAATGGATGTACACCATCAATCTTCAGGGGCGTTTTTCTCACTCCAGTTGTATCCCTGTTTCCCACTAGTTTCCCTACTGATCAGTGAGACAATCCTATAAAATCTGTTATTTTTGTTGCCTTCAAAAATCAGCTTGAAAGGCATTATCCTTAAGGTCATAATTTGAAAAAGTGCTGTGAAAGTTGCTATGAAAGGTGGGGCAGATACTTGAAAGAATCAAAATGACTGTTCATGCTACAAAACAAACAGGCACTCTGCAGGTGGTAGGAATCCAATATGCTCCATGACGTACCCTGTATTCAGCAGATAACCTCAGATATATTTGTGATCTCATGGATTAACTTTTAAGTTCTTACACAAAGGCCTTTTTCATTTGGTGTAAAACTACGACCGAAAAACAAAACAACTCTTCCTGTTCACATGCATCTTTTATATTACATGTAGACCCAGGCTGAATTTATTTTTTCCTTTTCCTGTTTTATTTTTAATCAAAATGGCTCTTTCATGGACATCAGGGGCTTGGACACTGGCAGCATTGGGTTTTCTTAGCTGCTGTAGTTTTGGCTGGTGTGAGGCCTCAAGGACTAGTGGTTCGACCTCAGAAGGAAGTAGACAGGAGCAAGCACCCTCATCGTTGGAACGAGTGAAGAGAGGATGGGTGTGGAACCAGTTCTTTGTGGTAGAGGAGTACACGGGCACAGAGCCACTCTACGTAGGAAAGGTAAGGACATTTCATTTTATAATGTAAATATCGTAATAAGAACTTTGTGTTGATTCCTTAAACTGAAGGGAATTAAGATGATATGTTTTCAAGTTGTAGTAAAATGAGTGCAAATGCCTGCATGCGCCCCTGTCATCCAGATAAATATCTTATTAGCATTGCCCACTCACATCAGCACCACATAGCTGCAGATATTTTCTAAGAATCAGAATTAAAGTCCAGAGGTTTCCATATTCACTTTCTCCTAATCGTAGTGTATCTGACAAGTGATTCAAAAAGTTACACTGAGTTAGACACATTTACAATCGCATGAGAATGCCACCACTGTGCTGTATTTTCCAAAAGACCAGATTGTGTTGACGTATGTAAATGAGTAAAGATTTGCTCCACATAAATAGGGGGCAGCATTTCACCTTTACTACTGGGTCCATACAATCTCAATTACAGTCAACAGTTGTAAAAATTGCCATCTAGCAAGAATACATGAAATCAAACCAAACTGCTCAAACTCTGAGAACTCAAAATAACATTGCAAACTCAATACAGTCTGTGTAACATAATGTTTTGATAGTTTGTTGATTGGTTTGGGTCTGGGCTAGCAGAGACGAGGGGACAACTCATGTTTTTGTTTTGTCCTCCCTGCTGACTGGGTACTGCTTCGCTCAGAAGGGAGTGTGCAGAGGCTCCGGGTGATGAGTTTGAGTTAGCGGCTGTGGCGGCTCGGATTTGGCTGGCGAAAACACCAAGGCCGATAGTCACAGTGGGCTGGTGAAGCGCTGGGTCTAAGCTGTGTAACGGCAGCAACAGAAAGTTTGCCGATCAGGTGGGGAGTCAGGGCAGCAGTCCCCTGAGATCTGAGCCCCGATGCTGGGGTTTGCTGAACTGCTAATAGAAGCTCCGTCAGCCTTCTGCAGCCACCTGGTGCTTTGCTCCCGACAAAGCAGCCTCCGGGCGGTGGTGAGGACGAGGCGAGGGTTAGAGTAATTTTCTTGTTTCTTCCATATTGAAATGAATCCAGTGAACAAACTATTCTGTACAGAGAACTATCTCTTCATTCTCTAAACGGAGGGCAGTCCGGCGCTACAGGCATCTTGCAAGTGGTATTACAAGAATGTATGGGCTGGGGCTAATCAGTTAGCATGCTCATTTCCGTTGATATCTCAAGACAATACATAGACATCTTTGACATAAGATCAACACTATAACCTTCTCACTTTCTGTTGATGTTGTTAAATACAGTTTTGGCCATATCCTACACATTGCAACCGTAAGAAAAAAAAAGCTCAGAATGATTCAGCAGTTTTGCAGATATGTAATTGTGCATATTTGGCTAGTGTCCAGCGCTTTATCGGAAAATTTGATATCATCACTGTCTGCTACATGTCAGGCAAAAGGCGAAAAATAATGTGCCCTAATTCATTGATATCCCACAAAATTATTTTGTATCTTAACCCAGTAATCATGAACAGCTAAGTATTCAGACCACAACATCTCACACAAAGGTGGGTGGGCACAACAAAGAGTGATCTTTCACCCAGGAGACCACGGTTTGTTTGCCTTGTGAAACGAGAAGTCAACGTTGTCAGGTAACTTGCTTACTTCAGTAATGGCACTTATGCGGTTGTTTGCAGCCGAACTTTTTTTTTCCTAAACCTAACTAGGTAGTGTTGTTGCCTAAACCTTACAGAGTTTCATGTGAAGACTGACGTTTTTTTTTTTAAAAGACTGTATATATTAGGGGTGGGAATCACCAGAGATCCCGCGATACGATATTATCACGATACTTGGGTCACGATACGATATTATCACGATACTGCGATATTATCATGATACTGCGATATATTGCAATTTATTACTTTTTTCAACTTCAAATTATGTCCCCAAAGGAAAACTGTGTCAACATGTTTTATCTTATAAGATACAGTTTTCAGTCTGTTCATCTCACTTCAATCATTTTTATTGCAGCAAAATAGGATTGTCAAGCAGACAGACTGACCAACAATGTCCTAAATGTTGCATGAACCTGACAAACTGAACTGTTTGTATTACTACATAGTCCAACTTAACTAAATGCAAACGTGTGGACTCAGTATATGAACTATAACTTATATAAGTAGGATATAAGAGTTATATAACTCAGTATAACTTGCGATGCGTGGACGTCGAGGGCAGAGAGACAGTTATGCGCTGCACTCTCCCCATGAGCCTGGCTACTGTTTGCAGATTTAACCCAGTTGTGAGGCCAGATGTCTCTCTTTGTTTTGACCAACTTCCTACCAATCATGCTGACCCAGGACCTTTCCTGACCTCACCAGAAAACAACTCAGCACCATCTAGTGGACTGAAAAAGCAATTGATTTGATTTTTTTTTTTTTTTTTTTTTTTTTATAGATTATGTAATAAAAGATCGATACTTGGCGTCCATGTATTGATACAATATCGCCACGCAAAATATCGCGATACTATGCTGCATCGATTTTTTCCCCCACCCCTAGTATATATGTAACAAGCGGAAATTGACACATGTTGCTGGCTTTAGTAGGAAAACGCACTGGAAAGAAGAGTAGCTTTTCATAAGATATCATATTAACATACTTTGCACATCAACAACCATCATTGTTGTTAGTAATTTTCAATTCCATTAATCTAACCCAGTATACAAATGTACCATAATCGCAATTTAGTTTTGATGTGGAAAGAGTACATACAATAATTGTGTGAACTTTGAAATGTGTAATTGTTTAGCTCCCCCAACAATAACCACAAACTCAGTACATTTGCGTTGCAGAGGCAGTTGCAAATTGGCCAAAATCGTTGCCAAACTTGCACAGGCCAAATTACCTCCTGATCAGTATAAACATATTTTCAGCTGAATCACTCAACCCACCTAATCAGTAAAGGGTTATCTGGAACCATTGGATTACTACACTACTACTAACAGATAGTAGAACAAAGAGGAAAAAAAAACACTTTGGTCATGGGTTTAAGAATAAGAAGAGATAAAGATCAAGTCCCAGTGTTTTTCTGCAGAACACCTCTGGAAGGTGCTCTATCACCAGTAGTAATACTCTTTGCCACTGCAAAGAATCTAAAGCTCTTTATACATCTGTTCCTCCATGACATTGCCCAATATTGTCTTTTGCTTTTTCAAGCCCTGGCATCTGTAACCACATGCAATTGAGGAGAAGCAGTCAGTTTTGAAAAGTGTCTACCTTCAGCTGTCACTAGCAGAGCTCCTGTGTAACGTAGGCGTTGTGGTGGTTTTGAGTTTTGTTTCACTCCCACGTTCTTGTTCTCATTGTTATATACCGGTAGAAACCTCATTGTTCTCTGATCCACTCTCCTTTGTTGTGCTGTAGAATCTCTGAAGGCTGTAAAAGTCCATTGGCTTCTTGTAATACAAACTGAGTACTTCCTGCTGATGCTTCATGTGAAAAGCTTTCCAAGGGTGAATCACTGGAACAGTTTTTGCTACACTACATTTTGACTTTAAGATCATACAAACTTCAAAGGAAATTTTGCGCAGACACAAACTGTATACTGTAGCAAATAATACATACAGATGTTGACATCCTTTGGTATCAACTTCAAATATTATTTGAAGACCTACTGATCGAAAGAAGAGGAAATAATCACTTGTTGTGAACCCTAAACCTTCCTCATGTCATCAAAGGAGCTATATTTAACATTCTGAAGAGTGACATATCAGCAACTATTTATGTGAAGATATAGTGGAGTAGTGTCTACCTGAGCAGAAAATGGAGTCACTCTCCATCAGTGTTTCTTGTTTTCTGAGCTTTTCCTTGCTTTCTTGACATAGCCGGGTTGGCCAGACGTGCTGTTAGTGCATGTTAGCGTGCCCCAATGGTTAGCTTACAGCCTCCGCTCTATACTGCGCTCATATGGTGGTTAGAGCTGATGATGTCGTCCCGAATGGCAGCATCGTCGCAGAAGCCCTCTGGTTTCCCGTCAGGTAAACACTGTTAGCTCTGTCAGCACTTTAGCCATAGTTTGCACTGTTGGGGCTGTTAGCTCACTCTTGGCTATGAGCCGCCTGTTCGCCGTCTTCATGTTGAGACAGGCGGTTGATTGACAGGCAATCGATTGGGAGCATCAAAATGCTCCCAATCTCAGATTTTGCACCTTTAATGGCCAGTGCCATTTCCATTACACATGAAGAATACTAGCACTAGGCCTGAATCACAAGTTCTAATCATACACATAATTTACCATATTTACCTTAAGAGCTGTACCTGCCTTTTCACCAGAGGCGCCAGGGGCTGGATCTAGTTCCTTTGCTCTAGTTCTAGGATCACAAAAAGTCTACTTCAAAAGGAAGTACTTTTTGCTCGTCCAGGAACTATCAGGGCAGATTATACAGTTCACTGATCAAACACAACTCCCAGTGTACAACTTGATGCACACAGTTAGCAACAGGAGAGTGAACAAGGCAAACAAATCCTCATTGGCTTATTGTGCCATTGCGGGTGCCTACTAAAGCATTAATAATGGACCATAAATGCTCAACATGCAGATTGCTCGGTAGGCAGGTACTCTGGAGTTTCACCTCTGCATGCCGTCTTTGCATGCGGTCATTACATTCGTTCTGTGTTGTTGTTTTGCTGCGTCTGAAAACTGCGTCTCAAACATAAACTTTGTTTTTCAATCAGTTATGAGAGTAATTTCTCCAATCTTCACACAAGAGATGCCTAGGACTTTGTTTAGTTCCTGTGGTTCCTTTGATTCTGGAACTGTTTGGTCAAACAGTGGCGTTACTCAGTGATGACCGCCTCAACGATGCCCTTCTCTTTGATGTTGAGGACAATCTGTTGACATCAGAAATGTGATTATTGAATGTTATTGTTTGAACTTGATTATAGAGCATGAGTATTGGTCAAATTAAATAGTTTTGCTATAATCTCAGTGCCATTTGTAAATTTGGGTATATTTTGCCCACTTTATTTCACTCTTCTTGGTCAAATCCCATTCATCAGCTGTTT